CGCGCGAACACTGGAGTAAAATTTAGTGCAAATTATTATTTATTATTATTAAATCTTGATTGCATGTAATTCAAATATACAAATGGTGGTGTTGATTTCTAGTCAGAAAAGGGAAATTTCTAGGGAAATCTACGATTTCATTTGTGGCAGCGATGAGAGCGGGTGTGCACCTAGATATGATCGACTATCGACTGATCGATATAATCTATTATAAGCTCTTGATATGATTTGCGCGCGAACTCTGGCGGTGGTGTCGATTTCGAGTCAGAATTGATAGAGGCAGGCAATCTACGATTTCAGTTGTCATAACGATGAGTGCGGGTGTGTACCTCTAGCTATGGTGGTATCCCTCCTGCGCTTGTTCGATGTATCCGCGTCGTGTGGTGACAACACAGAAGGCACGGGTATTGATTACTATCCAAAGCAGCATCGGTCGTAGTATTCGTTCGACTGCTGGTGCGCGTGCGTGTATAGGTCGAGAGATGTGTACGGGATTGTGGCAACGGTTGTCAAGCAGTCCCTGACAATAGTCTAACAACAGTCTGCCAATAACATAACCCTGAGTAGGTATCACTCGATGATGAAGAAGCCTCAAGTCGTGGTTAACATCTATTTATACAGGGCTAGTGGTTCCGCAGAGAAGTAATGCAGGAGCGCACACGGAACGCACATATATGCTCGTGAAGCTGCGATATTAAATGATCCCGCACTAAATAATTTATTGATCCAAACCTTGTATGACTCACCATATGCAGCCAATCGGATGTATATCCCAAACGGCGTTACGTACGACAATATTGCGTGTGAATCGGCGAGCGTCTGTTGTGGTATTGATTGCTACTGCACTGGCTGGTTGGATTAAAATATAATAAATATAATAACATATTTCACAAGGCCGTAACCTATGAGAATGGGCACGGGGCCAACCGGCCCTCACGGGTTGTGCAAGAAAATAAAATTGTAAGCTTATCTAATGTAGATGACCATAAAATGAATGTTATCATGAATGGAACATTATTACAGCCCGTATTAAAATGCTCAGTGTGTCTCGTATGTGGCTTGATTTCTCGAAACTTCTGAAAAAGCATTTTTCCTTGCCAATTTTCAATTTAGTCATATTTCTCATCCCAGTCACGTAATTTTTGCCCCCTTCATAGGAATTTGCTCACACTACTGCCCTAAATCGGTTGTATAGCCTGTTCTTCGTGCATGCTGATGTGTATGCGCACGTGCGTGTGCGTGTGCGTGCGTGTGTGCGTGTGTGCGTGTGTGTGCGTGTGTGCGTGCGTGCATGCGTGTGTGTTGCTGTTCGTAATTACACAAGCGGAACGTTGCAATATGGCCTGCCCATGAACTCTCCCCATCACTCACGTTTCTACTAGCTGTGCACGTTTCTGATTCTGACATGTAATTGCATTGGCACTTGAGTAGAATTTGTGTTGCTGAATTACTGTTGCAACGCTAGCACAATGGCACAGTGGTTTTATGTGTAATGGTGTGCGAGTTGGGT